TGGTAATTTGATTTATAAAGAAAAGTCACTATTCAGATTACCAAAAATAATATGGTAATTCAGAATACCAATCAGAATACCAAGTAAAGGGAAAGCACAACAATAAATTTTGAGACAAAAATACCCCAATATACACAAAAATCTAGACTCAATCTATCAATTACAAAAGTAAAAATAGTTTAGGGTTATTTTTGTAAAATAACTTCATATTCCAAGTCATATTTCGTTCTAAACTAAACATGGAATCAGTAATTTTTACCCAATATTCCCGGTAATATTTTGGCGAACCAAACACCTCTTTCGTAAGATTCCAAGTAAACTCAATTTTTACTGTATTCTCATTAATCATGATTCCCGGATACCAAAAAATTTCTCTTGTACCAAACACACCCTAAGGAAAAACTTCAAAAATCCCCTATAAGTTCCTTTAGAATCACTTATCCCCCTCCTCAAAAATTTTAATCATTTACACCCCTACTTAAAACTTTTTTATCATTTACCCTCCTAACTTGATTTTCCATCCAAATTAAAGTTAACGGTGTTAATTTAAAAAAAAACCCAAAACTACCCTTAAAGAAAAGTAACACACAACACTGTACCTTACCGCTGCAATAGATGGTCATTGAGGAGTGGAGCCCTAATCTTCTGACGCTCCACCGCCCTTGCTTCTGATTAGCCGCTTATATATTTCGGGTTCTAAGAGAAACACACAGCAATCAAAGATTTGGACTGGTAAATCTCCATTCTATCTGAGTATTTGGACTGATATAGGGTCAGGATCATTTTACACCAGTGTAAGTTACACTCTCAATCTTATCCGTTGATTTCATTTATATCTAACGGTTCAAATTTTTTAGTAATGTGAGCCATTGGATATAAGTGGTTCAATGGTCAAGATTGAGTGTAAGACTTCTAACTCTTACACCGGTGTAAGAATATCCTGCCCCATATATATATATATATATATATATATATATATATATACACACACCATTTGCGAGTTTTTGATTCTACGAATTATGTGAAATTTTGAATCTGCGAGTTCTGCGAGACATATATATATATAGACGCTGTTACGAGTTCTTGAATCAGCGTGTATATATATATATTGAATCAGCGTCTATATTAGGGGTGGTAAACGAGCCAGGGGCCTTTGGCTCGGCTCGTAAAGGCCTGAGCTCGTTTAATAAAAGCTCGTGTTAGAACCAGGCTTGAACTTGTATAAAAGCTCGTTTAATAAAAAGGCCTCAGGCTCTAATTCAGAAGCTCGGCCTTAGAGCCTCACAGGCTAGCCTAGTATATAAATATTTATTTATACTTTTTATACTACTTGTAATAACTCTCTCTCATCAATTTATTTCACCCCATTTTATTGATTTAACAGACTTTTTGAATGATTTTGTTCTATATTATGCTATTTGGATATATATTGAATTTATGTATATTTATGGAATTACTAGTGCTGTTCTATATTATCCTTCATCCTCCTTCACACAAACAAACCCACAAAAACTCATTCGTTCCACTGTGCACTGCTCGTTTGTGTCAATTTATTTTTTATTTTATTTTTTTATTTTTATTTTTGTTGGCACTTTTTTTATAATGGGCTAAGATAATATAACCTGTTATCTACCTTCTCTCACTTTAATGTTTTTTATTTATTGTAGACTTTGTAAATTATTGCTGCAAATTGGAAGCTAAGGTTTCTATCTGGAAATTGATTTTTTGTGGAATTCTGTTCTCTTATTTTTATTCTTTAACATGCTAACAGGCTAAGACAGGCTTCACACAGGCTTTTATTTTTTGTAAATAAACCAGGCCACAAGCCAATATTATATTCGTAACAGGTAACAAGCTAAGGCCAGTCGGACACGTTTAAATACAGGCTTGACCCGTTAAGATCAAAGCTCAGCATGGCTCGACCCGTTAACACCCCTAGTCTATATATATAGAAGCGTACGAGTTCTTAAATCAGCGTATAAATATATATACCATTTACCAACGAGTTCTTGAATTTGAATCAAGGATATAACGAGTTCTTAAATTTGAATAAGCGAAATTGCTGTCCAGTTTTTTTTTTTTTTTGAGATTAATATTTTTGAGAGGAGATTTTTTTGAAGCTTGTTGTTATTTTTCCAGATTTTTTGGAATCCCATTTTTTTTTTTGTCCAGACATGTTATCTTATGGATAATAGTTAATGAAATTGGTCCTTTAATTGATTTTTTTGCTGTCCATTTTTTGTACTTGCTGAAAATATTTACACCCTCGGTGCTTTAATTAATATATGGAAGCATTGAAAATTGGTTCATCTTTGACAAACGAAAGGTGAAACATATAGTGGGGCTGGAAAAAAATTACAAGATAACAAAAAATTTCATGTTACTTGAATGGTAGTTTTCAGTAGATCATTGACGATAATTTGTTATCTCTTGCTAGCAATAAGGTGTCGAGGGGTTAATTCTTTTTTTTAAGGGTAGTGTTGGTATTTTTTTAAAAGACTAACACTGTTAACTTTAATTTGGATGGAAAATCAAGTTAGGGGAAAATTTTTTGGAGAGTAAGGTAAGTGATTCTGAAGAAATTTATAGGGGAGTTTTTGAAGTTTTCCCTTAAATTAAATGATTAATTAATAAATTGGTAAAAAAAAATTATATGTATGTATTTTATAAAATTATATAGAGTCAATCCCTTAATTTTGAAAAACACTCCTTTTATTAATGAAAAATATACTTACAATTTTAAAGTTTTTTTTTTCTTTTGAGAAATTTGTCAGCTGGGCTGATCGTTGATGTGTGGAGAGAGAGAAAAAAAATTTAATATTAAAATTATATCTTACTGATAAGATATAATTGTAATTAGTTGCTGTACAAAATCTCTTACGTATAGAAAGGAGAAGTTGGGGACCCTTTATTAATATTATGAATGTTCATTTTCTAGAATTCTTTGTTGGCAAAAAAAATTAATTTATTGTTTTTTAAATAAAAAATTATGAATTTATGGCAGTTTTAAAAATAATTACACAATATCACGTCTAATTTGGGCGTTACCAATCACACCTAAATTTGGAAACAATCAAGAGGCAATCACGCCTAATTTAGGCGTCACTTATCAAGTATTGACACGTGTCACATTTTTTTTCCAACAAAAAAATTAACAATTTAATCGTAAAACTTTCGAAGGCCATAACTTTTGACTCGGGTATCCAATCAGGTAATTCTTTTTTGATTCCACATAACTTTTTGAAATCTACGGAATGATATCTCATTTGATATATTTATTTCTCACAAACACAATTTAAATTTGCAAGAATAGTATATAAGAGCGGTTAAACCCAGAAGCCTGTGAGTTTTGAGTTTGTGATTTAATATAAAATATAAATCAAGATTTGATATGTGATTTAAATTTAAAAAATTAAAAAATTTATTTTTATTATAAAATTTTTTTGGTTTGTGATTTAAATTAAAAATAACACTTATTATTAATAAGGAAAACAAAATAAAAATTTGATTTATGATTTAATCTCAAAAATCAATTTGAAAAATCTGTATTAATAAAGGAAATAATTAAATAAATATTCTAAATCTCTAAAGAAGAATAATTTTATTTTTGAAAAAACGTTCATAAGTCATCATTATTTCAGACCACAAATCAAATCTTTATTTATTTTTTTAATTTAAGTCACAAAGTCAGAACTCAGAGGCTTCTGAGTTTAATCGCTCTTATAATACCATTCTTGCAAATTTAAATTATGTTTAATAAAATATATCAAATGAGATGTCATTGCGTAGATTTCGAAAAGTTATGTCGAATCAAAAAAAGAACTATCTGATTTGGATAATCGAGTCAAAAATTATTGTCTTCAAAAATTTTACGATTAATTTATTAATTTTTTTTTTTGTAAAAAAATGTGACACATGTCAACACCTGATGAGTGACGCCTAAATTAGGCGTGACTGCCTCTTTAATGATGCCTTAATTAGACATGATTGGTGACGCCCAAATTGGGCGTAACATTATGCATCAGATCCGTATTTTTTTAAAAAAACGGTAATAAATACGTAATTAATTTATTAGAAAGCATTAAATTAATTTTTTTTGCCATTTTTTGTTTAACTAAGTTAATTAGTGCTTGGGCGAGAGGGTTTTTTTAGTTATAATTGTAGAAATAATAATAATTAAAATAAATATTTAGCATTTCTCTTATAAATATAAATTATTTCTAACAACTCAAAATGATAACATTTTAAAATTTAGAATAAAATTCTTCAAATACCATCCGTTAAGATAGAGAAATAATTTTTCCTTGTAATAATAATAAAATGAGTTTGATATTTGTCTTTTAAAAGTCACAAAATTATGTCATTTTAAATTAGAAAAACATAAACAATAAAAATTATGTGGGAAGTGAACGAGTGATTCTCTTAATTTAAATTTAAAATAAAAAATATGAATTTGCATTTTTTCTCTCACTTAGGATGATCCAGGATAATTTTTTTTTTCTAATAAAATATAAACGCGTGTGTAGTAATAAGCCATGTAATTATTAAAATTTATTTTTTAAAGATAGGATATTGTAACAATCAATTAGTATTATTATCTCTATCATTATCAATCAATTCCATCGTTAGATCGATTATGTTGATCCAACGGTTATATTTATTTCCATTTTTGTATGATTATGATTCCTCATATTTAATAATTTATAATTATTTTCACATGTGCATGGTTAGATGAGGAATCATAACCATATAAAGATGGATATAAATATAATTATTGAATCAACATAATCGATTTAACAGTGAAATTGATTGATAGTAATATTAATAATAACACTAATTCATTGTTACAGTATCCTTTTCCTAATATTTAATGGCTATATTTTATGATTTTCTGGGTTTTTTTTTTTCTCATTTTAGAAAAAAACAAAAAACCTTTCTTTATGAACTAAATCCAAATAAAAAGGGGCTAGGCCCTCCATTTATACCAAAAAAAAAAAAAAAAAAAATCCAAATAAAAAGAGAACCTAACCGCAGCCAGAAATTGCAGAAGGATTCAGAAGCAGAGAAAACCAAAGAGTACGGTGAAGAAGCAGAGAGGATTCTGAATCCTCATACGCTCATATATATTACCGTAAATGTCCCTCCATTTAACATTATTCTTTTTCTATCTTTTTCTTCTTTTTCCCTTTCTTCTAAACAACTCTCTGTTTTCTTTTATCTTTTTTTGATTTTTTTAAGACATGTTGGGTATCTTATATACAATTTCGCAAAGATAACGATTCTTATATTCTTATTCTTCTGTTTCAAAAAGGGCTTCTCCTTTTAATCGTTAAAGCGGTGCCGTTTTAATTTTGAAGACGGAAGACCAAGCTCAAAACCAAGTGAGTATTAGCATTTTCAATACCCAATTGTTATTTAATCGAGCTTTTTTTTCTTTTTTTCTTTTTTTGGGTTTTGTCTGAATGCTTTTGATTTTAGGCTATGTTACATGTATGCTGAATCGGTTTTGGTGGCCTTTACTGTGATGAAATTGTTGTTTATTCAGCTTGTGGTTTTAAATTTTAGTGTTGTTTAATGGAACCCTTGTTGTTATGCTGTTGCAACTTTTTGCCTATTCTTTGTCAGGATCCTGGAAGCTTCTATTCAATCATGTTCAAACTTGATGTGAATACAGTAGTTTTAATGAAAGCTACCTAATCAATTGAATAATTCAGATCTTTGTATTATTTATCTTTATTTATATGTAAGCAATTGGGTGCTTCCATGTAATGTTGAAGCATCTTGTAGAGCTAAATTCAACTCCTAGAGGGTAAGTTCATCGTGCTTGCTTGTGCTGATTGGTCCTGTTCTCTGCTGAATTTACTCTTCCATTTTCTTTTTGTGCTTCAAGGATTCTAAGACATCAAGTTGTTAGTTTTATTTTTATTTTATTTTCTCCTATTATTATTCTTTATCTTGTAAAAGGATGCCAAATTTTCTTGTTGTATATGTTTTCAATTGGCCATCCTCTGTTTTCCCTGGTGTGCTTTGCATAGGTTTATTTTATATGTTAATTTGAACTTTGAAGTATGTTCTTGATTAATTGACCTGGTTGCCTATTGTATGTGGCTACTTTGTTCCATGCTTTTGAAAATATGCATCGAAAAGGAGCTTATCTCTATAACTCATTCACGTGCATTTCCCTGCTCTTGTGACACCTTTTTTCAATCCCTATTTGCGGTGTGAATGTGAAAATCTTCGTTGGAGCTTGTCAATTACTAAAATATCACTGAATATTTGCCTGAACTAAAGCTCATCTTGCTTGAAGTTTTTTACCTTTTGAGTTTCTTCATTTTGAGTTTTGCGTTTTAGTTGAGTTGTAAGTAATTTGCATTTGTATATTGTATTTAATTATTTATTTTGCGAAGGAACTCTTCCAACCTTGGCTTTAAATCTGTTTTACCATGTTAGTTCGTCTAAATTAGTCAGTCATAGTTTGAATAGGATGCTTCAATCATGGAATTTTAATGGGACTCTTTTTATAAGATATGCATTATATTGTGTAAATTAATTTGTCAATCATAGTGATCATCGTGCTTCAACAATAAAATGACTAGTTTAAACGTTTTATGGTTGACTAGATATCATGTTAACAATTTCATTTACTAGCATATCCTTGCCCTTATATTCCGAATCAATGTGTTGCAACAACATAAAGCTGTTACTTTTATAAGTATCTGAACTAGGATTGCAATTGCAACCAGTGGTTTCCCAAGGCTTTCTGAATTTATGTATTATTAGTCACTATATGTTCTGACCAATTTATATTGTATGGAATTTCATTTCATGGCTTATGTTTTCATAGTCATATTCACTCACTCACCTCAAGTTAGGAAGTTTTTTTTTTTTTTTTTACTTTAAACTGTGGTTTTCATGTTTACTTCCTATAGTTGAGTGTCGAGAGCCAAGTATGCATTGAGTGCCAAAAGGATATATCTTTGGTTTTTGTTTTCATAATCCAAAGGGATTTTCATATCTGCAGACTGTAATGGTGTCCTCCGGTGTCTTATTGTTATGTTGCTTTTCTCTCTGTCTTGTCAATAACGTTTTCCCTGCTAGTTAGTAATTGGAAATATATGTTGTTTAAGCACCAGTGCTTGACGTCTTCTTATTTTGCTATTTTGCTTTCTATTAGCATCTATTTTTAATATAGTTCTGCTACAATTTTACTCAATTGGCTCAGCGTATATGAGATTATGTCTTTGACCCTGATTTTCTGCTCAGATTACTATGGCCATGTTTGAATTATGTTTTGAAATTAATTTTTTGATTTTCAGAACAAAAAATCCATGTGATAAGGCCTGTTTTATAAAAATAATTCTAAAAATTATAATTGTTTTTTAGTTTTTAGAATCAAATTTAGAGGACATGTATTAGTTGTTTTTGTTTTGTGTTTTGACTTTAACTTTTAAAAAAGAAAAAGAGAACACATATTTCATTAACTATTTTACAAAACAATTTTAAGGAAAAAAAAAACAGAACACAATCAAATAGACCCTCTATTGTTGCCTCTGCATTGTAGAGTTCGTTAAATCATCTCTGAAAGATTACTTTTTTGAACTTTTTGTTAGTAATTTGTTATCTCCATCATACTGTGAAAAATTAAGCCATTTATTAAATTGGGCGAACTATAAGAAATGGGAAATTTGTGCGAAGTTCATATATTTTTAATATATTTGATGTTTGATTTAGAAAACTGTTAGCCAAATATTAAAGAATCTTTTCGTGAGCTCTAAGATGATTTATAAAATCATTACAGCTAATGTAGCTCTTAGATGTGTAATTGTATAATGGATGATACAGCTGCTCATAATGGTTTCATATAATGGTTTCATCAAGCGTTGTTTTTTTGACCAGGATTCTTTTAATTTCTTATTATACTTCTGGAGCAGTGCATCTTGGGATCAAATTGTCCCTGATATACTGTACAAATATATTGATGCCTAATATAATATTTTCTTGTTTCTGTTTGATGCTGGGAAGTGATGCACCCGAGCTGACTGACTTGGATTGGACTTTTCTATAATTTATCCCATAGTTTAGAGTTTTTCAATAATTGTTAATTATTTTCCTTTTTGTTATTTTTAGATTACATTTGAGTGTGCGTTGATTGTGTGTTATCTCCTTTGATTATAGTTTTTTACTTTTTTGTTATTTTTATTTTGCTTATTTAAGGCTTGGAGAACCCTATTGTTAGGAGGTTGTTTTTGGTTAATAAAATTTAAGAAAAGAGAAATAGTATTTTCTCGCAATCCTTGTATTTGTTCTTCTTTCTGTTTAGCCAATTGGTTACTGCTTCGGCATTAGGAAGGGTGTATGCTTCTGTTTTCTGGTTTTTCTTCAACTCAAGAAATATTGCATCTTCATTAATATATATATTGCAGATGGAAGCACACAGCTCTCAGTATGGGCAAGTTATTGAAATCAGTGGAGATCTTCCTGATGTAGGAAGAGGAAGTAAGATTTGTGGGGAAGCACCATGTGGTTTCGCAGATGCTGGATCCATCTCTAAGGATTCTGAAGAACGATCAACTTCCATGCGAAAGCTTTTGATTGCAGTGGCCCTTTGTGTTATTTTCATGACCGTTGAATTAGTTGGTGGCATCAAAGCTAACAGTCTTGCAATATTGACTGATGCAGCACATTTGCTTTCAGATGTTGCAGCCTTTGCCATCTCCTTATTTTCTTTATGGGCTGCAGGATGGGAAGCTACTCCCCGCCAGTCATATGGATTTTTTAGAATAGAGATTCTTGGTGCTTTGGTTTCTATCCAATTAATATGGTTGCTTGCTGGGATTCTGGTGTATGAAGCCATTGATAGGATCGTTGCTGGTCCTCGAGAGGTGGATGGTTTTTTAATGTTTCTGGTTGCTGCATTTGGTCTTGCGGTTAACATCATCATGGCTGTGTTATTGGGTCATGATCACGGCCATGGACATGGCCACGGCCATGGACATGATCATGGCCATGGATTTTCAGTGTCTACCCATCATGATCATCATCATGATGTAAAGCATACAAAAGATGAGCACCATCACACTCATGATGATCACACACACCATGACGAAAAGCATCCAAAAGATGCACACCATCATTCCCATGAAGATCACGTGCACCATCATGCCCCTGAGGTTACTGAACCACTTCTAGGTGAATCAAAAGATGGATCTGAGAAGAAGAGAAAATGGAACATAAATGTGCAGGGGGCTTATCTCCATGTACTTGGGGACTCTATCCAGAGTGTTGGGGTGATGATCGGGGGAGGAATCATATGGTGGAAGCCTGAATTGCAAATAGTTGATTTAATTTGCACTCTAATCTTTTCAGTAATTGTTTTGGGAACGACTATCAATATGCTGCGAAACATATTGGAAGTCCTGATGGAGAGCACACCACGTGAGATAGATGCTGCCAAGCTTGAAAGGGGGCTATTGGAGATGGAAGAAGTGTTGGCTGTTCATGAGCTGCACATATGGGCCATTACAGTGGGGAAGATATTGCTAGCTTGTCATGTTAAAATCAGACCTGAAGCAGATGCAGACATGGTGCTCAACAAGGTTATAGATTACATTGAAAGGGTTCATAACATCAGTCATGTAACCATACAGATTGAGCGCTGAGTTTTTATTTTTTTAGCTAGTCATGATTTTGATGAGAAGGATTTAGCTACGACTTTAACGCATTATGTGCATTATGTTCTGGAACTGAACTTTCTCTATGACGATAAATAATGCTTGCATATACTCTTCTTTCTTGCAGTTTTTAAGAGTGCGGATATGAGCATTGAATATTTGCATGACAAACTTTTAGATCAATGTGATATTATGTCAAGTCATTTGAAACTTTATTTGTTACATCTGAAACAAGTTTGCTTTGGTCACTCACGTGCATTATTTTTTCGACACAAAAGGGTCCCCTACCCCTCAATTGAGCAACTGCCATTGTGTTTTGGAGTGTATTACTGACAAATCCTTTGGCGAATAAGAAAAAAAAGATTCTGTAGCCAATTTAAGAAGGGGTAAGAGTTAAATAATTGACAGGCAGCGGTTAATATTAACTAAATGCATGAATTCAACGACGTAAATACTAGAGACAAATCCCATGTTTTGCATGGTTCCAGAGTAAGAGAATGCTTCTGTTTGTAGTCGAAGGGGTAAAAGTATTACACGAGATATTAATTCGTGGATCAATTGGTAAGGGATTGTTTTTACTTAATCAGTGATATCGAGTTTAAGTGTCCGGAAACGCAGTTGTGTTAAAATTTTATAAGTAGAATTTTGTCACAGATATAATTCTACTCAACTTGAATTGAACTAGTCGAGTAATTAATGAATGAATCGATAGATAATATATATATATATATATATATATATATATATATATATATATATATATATATTGTTGTAAATATTAATATTATTTATTTATTTATTATTTGTTGTATTGAGCTTAGCTCATTAGGTCAAGTATTCTAGGTCTTGTATTCTCTATAAATAGAGAACCTTTGTACAAAGTATTTACACAATTCTATAATATATCAGAATACCCTTTTTCAAGTTGGTATCAAAGCTCTCGATCTGAGGGCTTTGCTTCCGTGCATATTGTCTTTCTTTCTTTTTAACAAAACCCTAATTTCTTTGCCTCTTGCCGCCATCAGCCGCCACCGGAAAACTTTTCCGGGGACCTTTTGGACCAAGGGGACCATTGTTGACCTTATTTTTCTCCGTTCTATCATTCTACGCACTGTTCCCCCGCCACAAACGCCCCAAACCCCTCCGACCGCCTCTAATCAGATCTGTCTTCACCGTTTGGACCACTTTCCGGCGACTTTTCAACCGCGACCACCCACAGACAGGTGCGCGCTCACCGGACGACCACGCCAGAAAAATCTCAGCCGAAGAATCCCCTCCACGCGCTCTCACGCGCCACCCCTTTCCCGGCAAGTGAAGCCCACACGCAGCTCCTTTCTCCGGCGCGTGGAGGCGCGTACGGCCGTGTTTTTGGACCGGACCACCACCATTCTTCTCGTCTCCTTGTCTTCTGTCTGGATCTGTGATTATTTTTTTGATCGGAGGTCATTTGATATTCTGTTTGGTTGATTTTATCGCTGGTTGTTAACTTTTTTTATTGAAGAATGGCCGAGCATGATAGTTCTTTGATCTTATCTGGTAAGAGCACACGTTCTATATCTCTTCTTGCTTCTTGCATTGATTTTAAAACCTCGTGGATTTTGGATTCTGGTGCAACTGATTATATGGCTTGTCATACTAAGTTGTTTTGTTCTTATCATCCTACTGTTGGTAGTCATACTATATCCGTAGGTGATGGATCCCATAAATCAGTTATTGGTTCTGGTAACATTCAAATTCAACCTTCCTTGTTTCTTAAAAATGTTCTTTATGTTCCTCAGCTTTCTACTAATCTTATCTCCACTCAAAAACTTACAACTGATTTGAATTGTTCTATCACATTTTTTCCTTCTCATTGTGTTATTCAGGATCTTACCACGAAGAAGACAATTGAGGTTGCTAATGAACAGGATGGGTTGTATCATCTCCTTCCAGACCATGCTAGCAAAAATCAGTTATTAGTGACACGTCATCCTTCTGCAGCAGAGTCTATGATTTGGCTCCATCACAAGCGTTTGGGGCATCCACCATTTAGTCTTTTGAAGTCTATGTTCCCCTCTCTGTTTCTCAATAAGTCAGTTGAGACCTTTCATTGTGATGTTTGTGAATTTCCAAAACACCATCGAGTGTCATTTCCTTCTAGCACTATTAAAAGCAAGGAACTTTTTTCTCTTATCCATTCTAATGTTTGGGGCCCTTCTAAAGTGCACAGTGTTTCAGGTGCAAGGTGGTTTGTTTCTTTTATTGACGATTGTACTCGGGTAACATGGATATACTTGATGAAAGACAAGTCTGAAGTACCAGAGATATTTATTCGGTTTCATCACATGGTTGAGACTCAGTTTGGTAAGGGTATTAAAAGACTCAGATCTGATAATGGTACTGAGTACGTCAATCAATGCCTGTCACAATTCATTTCAGACAGAGGTATGATTCATGAGCTCACATGCGTTGATACCCCTCAACAAAACGGGGTTGCTGAAAGGAAAAATCGTCACCTTCTTGAAGTTGCTAGAGCACTATTTTTCCAGACATCTGTTCCTAGTTCTTATTGAGGAGAAGCAGTGTTAGCTGCAACTTTTTTGATCAACCGTTTACCTTCATGGGTCCTTAACAATATCAGTCCTATTCATTCCATGACTTCCTTCTTTCCTTCTGTTCCCATATTGCAGAGCCTTCCACCAAGAGTGTTTGGATGTGTTGCCTTTGTCCATGTTCATAAACAACATCGGAGTAAGTTGGATCCTAGGGCTCTTAAGTGTGTCTTCCTTGGTTATTCCCCTTATAAAAAAGGGTACAAGTGTTATCATCCACCAAGTCAAAATTTTTTCTGGATGTCACCTTTCAAGAATCTGAATCTTATTTCCTGGGTCCTCATCGTCAGGGGGAGAACAGTTCTTCAGAAGACTCGTCCCCTTCCTTCTTTGAGCCTGGATCAGTCTTCTCTCTACCTAGTGTATCTGCTCCTGATGTGTCAGAACCTTCAAATACACCTGAGATACGGAAAATTTTGACACCTAAATTGGTATATCAGAGGAAGAAACAACTCATATTGTCTCACCAGCAACCTCAATCGTCTGAACCACTGGTAAGTCCTGAATCTCCTGTTTCTTCTGAGTCTCCTGTTTCTCCTTAATCTCATATTTCTGATCATGATGTTAATACTTCTGATGAGTTACCCATTAATGTTGATTCTGATGATTTGCTCATTGCTCTTAGAAAAGGAAAAAGATCTTGTCACAAGAAAACTTGTTCCTCCTGTCCCTCTTGTACTCAATACCCTATCTCCCACTTTGTTTCCTCTGCTAATCTTTCTGTGCAGCACAAAAGCTTTGTTTCAGCACTAGATTCTATTGCAATCCCAAAATCAGTACATGAAGCCTTGAAAGATGGGAATTGGGCTCAAGCCATGCAAGAGGAGATGAATGCGTTGGAGAAAAATAAAACATGGGAGGTTATTGATAGACCCAACGGAAAGAAAGCAGTAGGGTGCAGATGGGTTTATGCCTTGAAATATAATTCTGATGGCACTCTTGAGAGATACAAGACTCGATTAGTCGCCAAAAGTTACACTCAAACCTATGGCATTGATTATGAAGAAACCTTTGCTCCAGTTGCAAAGATGAATACGGTGAAAATCTTGTTATCCCTAGCTGGCCATTACAATTGGGATATAAATCAATTTGATGTGAAAAATACTTTCCTCAATGGTGAGTTAGAAGAAGAAGTCTACGTGAAAATTCATCCTGGTTTTGATTCTGTGAAGGGGGAAAATAAAGTTTGTAGATTAAAAACAGCCTTGTATGGATTGAAGCAGTCACCTCGTGCTTGGTTTGGAAGGTTTACTAAGGTTATGATGACCTTAGGATACAGACAGAGTCAAGGAGATCACACTCTTTTCTTCAAGCACTCCAAAATGAGAAGCTTACTGTGCTCCTTGTATATGTTGATGATATTATTGTCACATGTGATGATTTTGTGGAGAGACAGATTCTGCAGACACGGCTTGCCTCTGAGTTCGAAGTCAAAGACCTTGGAAAACTGAGATATTTCCTAGGGATAGAAGTAGCTCATTCAAGCAAAGGAATTTTTATCAGTCAGAGGAAATATGTTTTGGATCTTCTCAAAGAAGCAGGAAAGCCCGGGTGTAAACCCTCTAATACTCTTATTGAGCAGAATCACAAGATAGGCTTTGAAGAGGAGAGTCCTCCAGTTGATAAAGGAAAATATCAACGGCTAGTTGAGAAATTGATATATCTGGCCCATACTAGACCAGACTTAGCTTATGCTGTTAATGTTGTCAGTCATTTTATGCATGATCCAAAGGAGAAACACATGCAGGCAGTGGGGAGAATTCTTCAGTATCTTAAAGCTACTCCTCGTAAAGGACTGTTATTCCGGCGAGATGGCAATCTCTCTTTAAAAGTCTACACTGATGCTGATTATGCTGGATCTGTGACGGACCTTCGTTCTACCACTGGTTATTGTATGTTTCTTTGTGGTAACTTGGTGACATGGAGAAGTAAGAAACAAGATGTGGTTGCCAGATCAAGTGCAGAGGCTGAATTTCGAGCCATGGCTCAAGGCATTTGTGAGTTACTATGGCTGAAAATTATACTTGATGATCTCAAAATAAAATGTGAGGGACCAATGAAGCTGCTATGAGATAATAAGTCAGCTATTTGTATAGCTCATAATCCGGTTCAACATGATCGGACTAAACATATTAAGGTCGACCGCCATTTCATCAAAGAGAAACTTGATAGCGGGTTGATTACCACACCCTACATTCCCACCGGGCGTCAATTAGCTGATGCATTGACAAAGGGACTTCCTTCAGATAGATTTCAAGAGCTTACTAGCAAGCTGAGAATGATAAATATCTATTCCTCAGCTTGAGGGAGAGTGTTGTAAATATTAATATTATTTATTTATTTATTATTTGTTGTATTGGGCTTAGCCCATTAGGTCAAGTATTCTAGGTCTTGTATTCTCTATAAATAGAGAACCTTTGTACAAAGTATTTACACAATTCTATAATATATCAGAATACCATTTTTCAAGTTATATATGTATATATATATATATATATATATAGGGAAAAACATTTCTCAAATTGCTTGAGATAA